TAGCCACTTAGATGCTGGCCCAGATCACTTCACTGAGCACAATCTTTGTTATGTGTCTTTAGATACTTCTAGGTTCAGTAGTAACCTCAACATCTGGGAACAGTACATGGATCATAGAATCAGAGTGGCCTCAGTTGAAAAGGACCACAATAATCATCTAGTTTCAGCCTTTTTGCAATGTGCAGAGTCACCAACCAGTAGAACAGACTCTCCAGAGCCACATCCAGCCTGGCCTTGAATGCCTCCAGGAACGGGTCATCCACAGCCTCCTTGGGCAACCTGTTCCAGTACATCACCACCCTCTGTATGAAATGCTTCCTCCTAAATGGATGTATCTCCCTTTCAAGCCTGTGGCTGCCTGAATGGAACCCAAATCTCAAACCTGTGTACCAATACTTCCCCCCCTGTACGATGTTGGAGAGAAAATAGTGTTCAGCAAAGCCTATGCATAAGCAGGTAGGGAGGATAGCAACCAACTATCTACCATTAAGCAAATAGTCATTGTAACAATATGCCTGAATCCCTTACTTTGCCTAAAAGATTGACTCCGTGTCTCTCTTCTCATCACCTTGGGTGCCCACAGCTGTACTTCAAATGGTTAAAGAAGGATCACTTAATTTCTGCAGCACAGATAGAATAAGAGGCAGCACTCGTAGCACAATCACTTTTCCAGACAGGGACAAACGTGGAGATGCACTGTGTGTAAGTGAATGGAAAATCCAGAGATGGAAACAAAACCAAGAAAAGTAATTCACCTGTGCAAGGAAAACAACAAGATTCTGCTTTTCATTCCAAGAGCTGCCCAAGCGTACTGAAGTCTCTTTGGGCACCCAAGAAAACTCAGGGCAGTGCTCCAATCACAGGGCTACTGATGTGGCAGGCACTCATCTTCACATCTTTCTCTCTTTGGTTGCCTTTATGAACAAGGCAGATACAGTTGTGTTCAGGGAGAGACATGTTATGAATCTTTTCAGCTCTCAGCAGTCAGTTGCAGCTCACTTTCTCTCTTCTGCTTTTTGCTCACTTCCTTCATTTAATTACTTCAGGTTTGTTTTTTTTTTTTCCTAATTGAGAAGACTTACTTCTTTCAGAAGTATTACTGCAAACAATCTACTTTTGCAAATATAATGAAGAAGGAACAAGACTTAAGTACAATGTTCACTGTTATTAGGGAATAATAGAACAGCTCTGCCATAAGACCTCTTCCTTCAGCCCACTCACAGTAAGCAGTACTCAAACAGTTTGTCTTAGAGAAATCAAGAGGATGGCTCAAGCCTTTTCAAACATAAAACAATCAATCAAAGCCTAGGACAGCACAACAAATAACAAGTAGCAAGCTTTCACTCCAACAATTAATTTACACTCAGTATTTGTCTTTTGTTGATAGTAATATCTCCTTTAAGTCTTGTGCACTTAGCTTACTTAAAGTATTAACAGCCAGGTCTGCATTCCTTGAGAGCATTTTAGAAATTCATCAAGAACTCTGTTTTGACATGATCAGTTAGAGCACTATTTCAGACTTGTTAACCAGTGACCAGATAGATTTCTCATAAACAAGAACCCTGTGCTCTTCCTTGATCCCAGAAGTGCAATATCTAGCAAGACTGAAATCTCTGCCTAAAAAAAAAAATTTACTTCCTACACCAACGAGAGATGCCATTTCTATTCAGCAATGCTTGTTTCTTCCCCCCCCCCCCCCCCCAATAATAACCAGAGGACTGCTCTGCCAGAGCTGGTCCATTTTCGCATCTTTGCAGAAGTATGACAACACAGTCAGGTTTAGTCACTGAATCTTTATACAGCTATGTCTCTACATGAAAAGACAATTAGATCTAAACAATCAGAAGAAATAATCATTTATTCATGCTTTCCCAGAAAATAGAAAAGCAACGCTGTTTTTCTAGAACTCCTCTATACGGCAAACATTGCATATATTTTATCATATGCATGCACATCTATGTACTTACAGAGTAAGGAGCTGCTTTTCTATAAAAACATAGAAGAGCAAGTAAAAAAAAAAAAATCTACTTTTATTTAATAATACCATAACTCTTATGATGGTTTTCCATAGAACAGAGGAAACAATTCGAATTTATTTCTCTATTTTCAAATTATTTTCATATCTAAGTCTATCAGACAGGTATGTACAGAAGCAACACCTACAATTCTGTGATTATGCAATCTATTTTAACTGGCTCTTAAAGAGCAAGTATTTCTTCCCATATTGCTCAAATCTCAACATGGGAAAACACCGCTCAAGCCAGAAGCATAAGGTGGAACACACTGTAGATATGGCTGTTCTAATATCAGGTTCCAAATTATTGGCATCTTTGAGGAACACAAAGGAAAACTGACTTGTCAGATCGCCATACTTATATCCTACATAACTCATGCACTTGCTTTAGAACTTTCCTGATTCTGACACAGCACAGAAAAAGAGTGGGGTTTACTATGTTTTTTGTTTGTTTGTTTGTTTTGGGTTTTTTTGTTTGTTTCCCCCACCTCCCCCCCTTTTTTCAAGCTTAGTCTTTTATAGTTTGACTTTTGGTTGCAGAGGGGAGAGGAAGACAATGCCAGCTTCCCTTTTTTCCCCAAGCATTCCAGAATAGCTGTGACTGTATAACAGTCTTGAAGTAGAAGACCACCATCACCTGAAAAAAAATACTTAAAATACTCCTTTAAAATACTCCTTGGTGGCACAGAACAAAGCCAGAAAACATTTGTGGTCTAGTTACAGCCACAGCGTACTGTAAGTGCAAACCTGGCAGCCCAGTACCCTCATGCAGTAAAGGTTTATTCTACATTTGTCTGTGCTCATACACAATGGCCAATGAGACATACGCAGTCCCTACCAAGTATGGTTTTCTCCATATTGCCCTCCAAAAATGCATTCTTCCATGTTGGAGTGCCAGAAAAATCCTGTTCCTCATAGAGCTCAGAAAAGCCACCATTCTGAACTCCTTGGCCATCCCTACACAATCAGAGCATGGCACCTACATTTATACAATACCAGAAACGTGCATGTCTTTTGATGGCAACTACACAGACCACAAGCATGAACTCTTGCTGCCATTAACCCTCATTCTGAAGTCATCTAAGTTAGAGAAGGATTTCATGAACTTCTGCTGTCACCAGCTTTGTGCTCCTTAAACTTATACCTCCTAATATTTATTACATAAGACCTTGAAGCCCATGGATGTCTTTATACCCCACTGCAAGTCATAAAAACCTTCCAGTGAGCTCAGTAGCAATGCTCCAAGTCCTCAGGCAGCCATTTGTCATCTCTTAGGTAAACCCATGCCTCACAAAATAAGATTGCTCTCCTCTAGCACTGCATCTTAAGAAACATGACAGAGTATTTTCAACTCGTGAGAGAAGGAGTAACACAAGAGAAACAATGACTACAGAAATGATGCAAAAAATTGAGGGTGTGGGAGAGTTAAAGACAGCCAGTAACTATGCAAAAACACATTACAAGGAAAAATCAATAGCTAAAGACAGATCGTTAAAAAAATAAATGGAAAGGTAGATAGTTCAAAATTACCCCTTTCCCAAACCATAATTGGATTTTTAGGTGAGCATCCACAGAATAAACAACACTTACTGATATTTATTAAGTCAACACAAGAGAATACCAGTTACTGTAACAGCCCATAACAGCAAGAGCATGAAGAACCAAGGCAGAAAGATGACACATGCAAAGTTTGTGAACGTGAGAAAAGCATCTTGGCATCTGTTTTAAAGAATGATCTAAAAAGAAAAAAAAAAAAAAAAAAAACAAGAACACAACAACAAACAAAAAACAAAAACACCTTTTCACAGGCTGGAATCTGCACTTCTACATGGAGTGAGGCTGTCTGTTCATTCTGATTACAACCAATGGAATGAGGTACAGACTGCAAGCAACATTCGCTAGCATTAACACCTGTATGCACAACAGCACAATCAAAAACAACACAACACCCACAGTTTGAAGTTATTGAAACCTTTCTCGTCCATAGGTAAAGTTGAAATTGCTCAAAACCCTGGTATAAAAGATGCCAAGGAAGACAGAGCCAGGATTTATTACTCAACAACCAAACTTAAATATATAGAGAAATTAATATAAAAATGTAACCAATAGCCCTTCCAGTCCCACTTGGCCAGCTGGCACTGAATGATGAGTGAAAGCACTGCAAAGTACTTTTTCTCTTGCTTTTATATCACTGCAGTTTTTATATGCAGTACATGGCACATTGCCACTTCCATTTTTGAGTGCAAAAGCCTTGCACAGAGAACAGGGAGTACAGCCAATAGAACCAGATCTACTGGGGACTTCAAATGAAAATTCATTGTTTCACACGTGAAAAGCAATGATATTTTTTTCTTTATTTACTCCTGATGTTCAACATTAGTTATTTAATCAAGCAAGCTAATAGTAGAAGCATATCTAAAAAGGCATCCGTTTGTAAACTCTGCTTAAAACTCCCTTTTTCAAAGATCTTTACAGCTACCTACGTATGAATGGCAGAGTCTGCAACAGGTGAAGGCACAGAGCCATCCCATCTCAACACCCCCAGATTCCAGAAAAGTCAATGCTCTCAGCCTTACCAACCATCTGCAGAACCCTGCAGTCTTTATAAGTTCTAACCTACTTGATGGTGCACCAAGCAGAAAAATCACCTGAGGTCAATACTCAGCTCTACATCGCTTCCATGCTGTCTTGGAGAGGTCAGTCTCAAACTAAAAATGTTCAGGTAGGGCTAGATAGGGCACTGAGAGGGCATAGTGGGTGGGGCTAGATAGTCTTAGCAGTCTTTTCCAACCTTAAGGCTTCTATGATTTTAAAACAGATATTTGTGCACGAACACCACCAGAGGTAGCATTTTTGACCAAGAAAAATGCATGACGTATTCCACACATAGAGAAAAACGATAGTAAACATAGCTGCTTTAAATAAGTTCAGGATAACCCAAGCAAGATAGAGGTCACAATCTGGTAATAAAGAAGGAATTGCTTACCCTTTTCCAAGGATCAGGACTCATCAAACACTCCCAAGGAAGCAATCTCCAAATAGAGAACCTTCCTATGTGGCAGCCAGCCCTTAAATGAGATTAGGGACTTCCAATCACACAGGTGAGTTGCTTCCACCTGTGCTCCCAGGGCAGGCTACATCCCCTTCACCAGGTGCTCAATCACTTGTTCAAGCCCTGATATAACAGTTTCCATACACCATGTAATTGCAAACAAGCAAGCACTCAAATGATACTAAAAATTCACATTTTTACTAGTACAGAGCAAAGGGAAGTGCATACCACCTCCAGGTGAACCACTGATTCAACTTATAAAAAAGAATACAACAGCCAAAAGCAGCATTTACAGCAGCAATGTAGGATGCTGGATGGATTTTTTTCATTCTGTATCTGTTGATGTAAGAGTCAAAGTATCCTTCACATGTCTTTGTTGTTTGGTTCTTAAAAAGTAATTGCAGAACACAGAACTGCACAGACCAGGACAGCCACAAAGGACAGAAAAGACACTCAGTACTCAAAGCATAGTTTCAAAGCATAATCCTTTATGCCAAGGGTCTCCATTTGTAAATGGCAAAGAATATACACACCTTGTCAAATTTCTATAACAAATATGAAGGCATAAGACTTCAGATTATTCCATTCATCCCACAGCTTGTCAATAGCTTATTTCTGTCTGCATTACGTACCACACTGTACCTGTGGTGCTTTGTCTTGAACATTTCCTCCTTAAGCATTTGAATTCCTACTGAACAGGACAAACAGGCAGATTATGAGACAGCATCCCTCTTTCAAATACCACAGACTCCTAAACACATTCTAGAGAAACTGGTAAGCAGGTTAGAAATCTGAAAATAAAAGGATAAGAGCAAGAGAATTAAAATCAATACACTTGATGTTAGCAGTCATGCTGTCAGCATACTGTCAACAGTATGTCAGCTTCACAGTATTATGTGAGCATTGCAAAGCATGATTATTGGTGCTGCTGATACTAACTGTTGCACCACATCTACCAAAACAAGCAAACAAAACCACCAAATGATACTTCATTTACAAAGCCAGATTCACATTTATGGGGTTTCGGTGCAGAAGTCCAACTACTTACTGGATTTCCCATGCCAGAGTATATCAAGCGTTAAATATCTCATGTTCCTAAGGGCTACGTTGGTTACAGAAGTGGTTAATAAAGGTTTTCAGGGTTGTTTCCAGCCAGGTTACGATCCCTTGTTTTCGAGCACACTCCCTGTGTATTTTACAAGATAGCTGTTAAGCACATTGAGTGCCATTAAAGTATGAAGGAGTTGCTACAGCTGCAGCAATTGCAAGAGGGATATATGCTGTTCTTTGCTTCCAAAGAGGAAATTATGCAAGGACACACATCATATTACAAAATTAGAATTACTGGATTAATCTGAGCATTAAATCCCTGAATGTCAATCAGATTCTTCCAGAAATCCTCATATTAATCCAGGCTGTCTGTTCACTAAATAAGTAGCATCCATGGGGGCTTTGACCCACACACCACAAAAATCGACTGGCGTGACTAATTAAAAAAGCAATAATGACAAAGTGTTAATCCTTAGCTTACGATTTCCTCCGTGTGAAAAATCCAGAACTTCATGACTGTTTGGATGCTTGATAGGTACAATACTGCATAGCTGCAGGAGCTTGACTAAAGCAGCAGCAAAAGAAAGAAAAAAAAGTAAAACAAAACCTCATGTTGTGCATGAGGAGATCCAGGTTGGATGTAAGGGGAAAAATTCTTCTAAGGAAGAGTGGTGAGCCATTAGAACAGGCTGTCTAGCGGGGCAGTGGCATCACCACCCCTGGGGGTGTTGAAGAATCGTGGAGATGTGTCACTGAGGGACAGGGTTAGTGAGCATAGCGGGGATGGGTGGGTGGTTGCACTAGATGAACTTAGAGGTCTTTCTAATCTTAATGGCTCTACGGCTCTACTTAATAAATACTGGAGGTGGTTTTAAGAAACGAACTCAGATACTCTTCCCTGATTACAGCCCATGGAGAATAATTCTGGCTGTTCACATTTATTCCAGAGGGGCATCACCTTGTTTTGTCTGGCTTTCCTCAGGAGCACAGCTATGCGTATGGGCATTGCTGAGTCACTGCCTGAACCCCTGATTGAGCACCTGGGGAAAGGACCCAGTCAGCCCTGGGAGCACATGTTGAATAAGGTTGAATAAAACAATATATGAGCTGAAACTTATGTTTGTTTCCATGAACCAAAGTGCAAATTGTGCTTACAAAAAGTGTGCACTGTAAGTGTAGACTTACAGAAATAAATTTCTAGGTTCACAGCAGTTTTATTAAAATAAGGACATCAAAGATTAAATAGTCTTACAATTTCTCCCATGATTAACATTTTGGGTGAAGAAATTTTTTCCAAGTGAGATAACTGCTTTTATTCTCTGCCAACTTGGTTATGCTAATTTTAGAAGTAATTCCTGATTGTTATGACTGCTATTTGCATTAATTATGTTGTACTGCTTTTCAAGAGATGTGCAATTCAGAGCAAGAATGCAGTGAAACATTAATAGGCATGTATGTGAGGTGGGGCGGTATGCGGTGATGTGTCACGCCAGCACTTGTTGGTTTAAAATTGAGCATTAGCATCCCCGGAGCTGGGCAGAAAGTCCTCCATCTAGAACACCTCCCCATCTACTGAGAACTCTTAGCACTTAACCAGAATAGAATAAAGTCAATCATTCAGCACAGCTCTCGTCACAACTACGTGCGTGGTTGTGCTCATCTCTCCTATGTGCCCCCGTTTCTGCATGTGCTGGGATGAGTGCCAAATGTGCACCGCCTCCTTTCTGAGCATGCCCATGCAGTAGATGTAGGGACAGGATTTTCCAGGAAGTCCTCCTGGCTTCTTTACTTCCTAAGAAAAGGGAGTTCTGGGTCTCTTGGATGAGGAATACTCCCCCTGTGAGAGACAAGTGTTTCTGGTCTCACCTGTGCGTCCCCCAAGGACTGCCCCAAAAACCCAGATATTGCACCCCCTTCAAGCACTGATTGCATGACAGGAATAGCATCATTCTTAACACTAGTGAAATGGGTCCTTCCAAGCAGTTTAAACAGCTCCTGAAGGACTAATTCTGTCCTTGGCTTACATGGAAAAAAACACAAACACAAAAGCCTACTTTCCATTATTCTAATAACATTCTGGGCTCTTGCTCCCTTTCTGCTCCCATTTCAGCCAAGTTACTGACTTACATATAGGATGGAAATGATACCGTTGAAGCTGTATGGACATTTATACTTAGGTTTTATTGGGCTGTCAGGCACGTGGTGCACTACTTGATTTCAGATTTCAGATAGTAAATCCAGCAAAGATTGTCTTTTTTTTTGTTTTGTTTTTTGTTTTTTTTTTTAATGTAGACATTGCCAAGGGAAAAGAGAAAGAAAAATCAATACTTCCATTCACCATGGAGAATGGTGGTATTTTACACCTGTCATGGACTAATAATACATTGCCAATCTTTTTCAAGTTTGCCTCCATTTAAGAGGGTTCCAGTGCTGATACCCAACTGCAGAGAAATCTGCAAATCAATTGGCTTTAATGGCTCTACTGCCTGAGCTTAGCATGAAGATCTGTTTTGCGCTTGTGCAGAACCAAGCTCACTTTGTCACACTCTGTCACACACCTTCAAGCACTACAGCAGACAAATGTATTTTATTATTCCTTTATATTAGAACTGAGGTCACACGCTCCTTCTGCATGTCCTACGCAGGCAGTTCAGCTCCACCCAAACTCAACTCCTTCACACAGAAGATTTCCCAGTGCCCCATGGTACATGTATGGACACCATTTTCAACAACCAGCAGTGATTACTGCTTTTCAAAGTTTTTTTTTTTTTTTTTGTGAGTTGTAATTTTTACTTAGATATTTCATTGCAAGTACTCTAAGTAAAGCGAGCAAAAAACCCTCAAATGTGCATAAGGTAAAAAAAGGGTCACCCTGTAGCCTCTTCTACATGTGATGCAATGGAAAGCAGAAATCCAGAACGAGCATTCCACAGCCAAATTTCATTACCCTCATTTTGTAAATTCTATCTTCAAGTTTAATATTTAGGCTGCAGCACCAGGAATGGCCTTTTAAGCTTTCAGTCTTCTGAGAGGCTGCCATCGTGTGGCACTTGGGGATGCTGTTCACTGCCTCAAATAAATGGCTTGTACATGCTCTAAAGTGAATGTAGTGCACATACACAGGATGCTTCATAAGTAGATAAATACTTCCTCATTCCTATTCAGTAGCAGCTTCAAGACAAGGCTGTGACGACTTCTGTGTGTCGGTTGTATTGTAGTGCAGTTCATGAGCTGGGGCTCAGCTGAAGAACTTTTATTTCCATCAGAGAAGCAGTGAACTTGAGCATATATTCAACTTCACATGCATTATGTGGTACTGCTGCCGTATTAAGCCATAAATCCCAAATGCTAAATGTGCTGTGCACCATCTCAAGAACCACTTCCCATGAATGCTTCACTCCCTTCACCTATTTTTCACTTGATTTGGACTATGGGTGGAGGGTGACAGGCAATCCCATAGAGCTCATTCCTTCAGTCAGTAATGCGTATTTCTGGATAAATCAATGGAGTTTTAGAATGAGAACTTAAGGATTTTACCCTGTGCCTGGTGAACTGATTCAACTTCAGTTCTTGCTTTGTTTGTTGTTTATATAACTTTATACAGTACCAAGCAGTACAAATTTCTTCTGACACAGCATTTTTCACTGTAAGACAGATGGAGAAAATTAATTTTGCTCTTGCTGGTTATGTTATCAATAATCTGTGTATACAAGTCAGGAACAAGTCCGTTGTATTTTCTTTCTTTCCTGAGGACAGTAACACAACTTTAACCCTGCCCTAAGAATACTTCCTCCCCAGCTTTTTTCCTTTTTCTTCCCATCAGATTGATACTTGGTGAAGAGCACAGCAACATGGTATAGAAAAGGGTGTTGAGGTTGGACAGCAGGAAACACTGATTGCTAGGCAGACAATGCATGCAGTTTTTCTGCAT